CAAGTCTGGAGCGTTACCACTTACGCCACGTCAACCACAATATGCGCCTTCCCGCTTGGTTTATGGGGGCGACTCCAATGATAGCGCTCATATACAACGTTTAAGTACAGCGTTGAGGGGAAAACTTCCGCAACTCCGTTCAGAGCATCGTTAAGCAGATAAGAAAAGCGGTTTCTAGCTTTCCGTCTCAAGACGAATGCGGAGGTATACGCCTCATTGCAAATGGCCGGACCGACCTGGTGACCTTTCCTCGTAAGTAGAGCGAAGTGATGACACTTTTTTATCTGTGATATTTTGGAACCCTCTGACCATCCTCCAGATCATTTTCTTCTCCATACATGTGAGCTACAAAGAAAATCGATCTGAGAAGGAAAAACGTTAAGAGAAAGAAAGACGCAAAAAGTCGCAAATGAAAGAATGCCACCGCTTCACTCGAACTGGCTGAGCTTTCAAAGGAAAATGGCTCGTTTTTCTCTCTGATTTCTTCTCACTGAAAGCGTATTTCTTATCCCAGACATGGGCTGTCACGAGCGCGTTGTAAAACACGTGAAACTGCTCCCATATACACACTAACTCTTGGAGAAGTTTTGATTTCCGTACCCGTCTGGATAAAGCCGTATTATTTTCTCACGATACGGCGCTTTCGGTCGAATACTAATCAGGGTTCTTCCCAGAATCATACCCTGTAGCATCCCTGAGAAACTTTTTGCTTATGAAGTCATCCCGATAAATCCAGCGTGTGCTGACACTTCGACAATTCCTGCGTCTCTTTTGCTAGGATTTCCCTTTTACTTAAGTCTGAGCGGCTTTGCCTTTGCTATAAGCTAAGGAACTTGAATAGGTAAATTTCAAAATTTGATTCTGTAAAAGTAAAATGCAGCAGAGAAATATGTGTTGGAACTATGATTTTGCGTCATAGGCAAGTCAGGTATTTTCGGAAAAATGAGGATAATAAAATTTTGCTTTCTCACACTGGATTGCCGTGATAATATTTAGGATTTGCATTTGCATGTGTCACAATTTGTCTGTAGAGCCCTTTTCAAAAACATCTCGAAATTTCAGTTTTTGGGAAATTTGTAGGTGGAACTAAGATTATGCGTCGCAGTGTAGTATAGAAAGTGTCAGTGAGGAAATTTTCTGAAAAGGTTTCCGCCAAAGAAAACTATCGTTTATTTAGCATGGGCTGTGCTCTCACTGCTATCTATCGAGGTCGTTCTCAATTCTTGTTTTGAAACATTAAAAGCGTTCTGATCCTGTAGTTATTGGTTTCTTCTGGTTAAACTCTCCACGAGGTTGTTGTTATTTATAGCCGGCCAAACTTTGGCGAAATCGCCTTCTTCAGAGCTTGGAAGGATCAGAAAGGTGACTTATGATACCCAACCATACGTCTCAGCTATGCTACGGAAAATCGAGCCCATAAAGATAGTCGTGAGATGGGTCACCTACAGTAACTCGGTCCAGCTCTTGGTAGAACAAGAAGCCAGCGGTGGGACAAGTAGCAATCCGAACTGATCGTGATTACGAATCATTGCTGGAGAGTCAACCTTACAGGGGGAGGGGGCAAAAAATAGAGTCACTCTCACTCACATTCAAAGCAGAATTAATCACAGTTCTCCAGAACCAAACCGAATTAGCTCAATTGCATATTAAAGAGCACATTCTATTCTATCAAAACTTTACATAGGGGCTTTCTACACTGACGACATCAAAGATGTTCCCACGGAAACATGGTTCGCAGTACGAGCTCAACGATGTCGTCGAGGAAACATAGACGCTTACGTCTCTGAATTGCTGGTCAAAAGCCATCTTGCAAGGTCAAAGCTAGTCTACTTAAAAAGTCATTTACCAGTTATCCGATGGAAGAAATCATGTAACACAAGATTATAAGTTCAGGAACATAGGGTGTATACCGTAACCTTCTCGACGTTGCACTGGGGCGCGCATTCTCACGTGTCATCGATTTTCTCGTCTTCTCTGCACCCTCTCAACGAAGAGAGAATGCGTCGAGCAGGCCCGCGCAGAGTACTATGCGCCGTTTATGTAGAAGGTGGAGGACACAACGCGAGCGGCTGTCGCCACACGTCGGATGAGGCGGCACCCCGGGGATCACCTCCCTGTGCTCGCGCGCGGAGCGCGCGCAGCGTTCATCCTCGCCGCGCAAGCGGCTAGGCGAATGCTGCGACGCGTGGTTGGCTCGCGTCGCTGCAAGCGGAGCCCCGGAGACGCCGCAAAACGGCGTATCGGATTCCACGGGTGTTAGGTCCATCGAGCGGGCGACGGCGCGGACGTGTGCGACGTGTATCGGCCTTCGCGCTTGACGCGGCAGAAGGCCAAACGTGCGACGTCGCTGCATTTCTTGGTTCGCTGCCGCGCAGGGGCGGCGATGTTGACCGCTCCTCGGAGCGTAGTGCTGGCATTGTCTGCAACTGAGAAAGCCGGCACGCTGCTCTGACGCAAAATGTGGGTTACGGTATACATCTATGTTCCTTACTTATAATCTTGTTCATCGTAACAGCTTCAAAATGGAGGCATTATGGGTAGCCTCCTTGAACTGGGCGCTCCGGTGATGACGAGGATCCCTATCCTACTATATATATGCGCATAATGTCTGTCTGTCGTTGTCAACGAAATTCGGTATCAAAGCGACACAACCTATAGGTCCAGGTCAGTTGTGGAGATGGGTATACATATCCGCTTGACGTAAAAAATACACATCAGCCAAGCGGGAGCCGCCAGCCAAGTGCGGCGTGGCGTGCAATCGGTTGATTCAGTACAGTCCAAAAAAGAGCCTCGAGACTCGGAAAGAAGTGGTTATAAATGTGCGTTTCGGTAAGCAGATTGATTTGGCAGAGACCACCCTCGAAAGGGGCAGGGCTTTTCTCTGCGAAACGGTGCTCAATAAAAATATCAATAAGATAGGTTAAGAGGCAAGCTACAGGCAGAAAGAAAATTAGTGGCAGGGCAGCGATGTCTAAGGTATTTCCAGCACAGGAATGATGTGAAGAGGTTCGCCCACAATGGGGCGGAGCGTGGCCTGAAGTAGATCGGAGTTTTCTACAAGAGCTGCATAAATGGCTCTTGAGATGACTGGAAACTGAAAACAGTGCGATACAGTTTTAGGATGAAAGGAGAGAGCGAATGTCAAGCTGGGCGTGACTTACACACAAGTGGGCGGAGTTTGCAACCAGCCTATTAATCGGTCCGCTATGAGTCGCGGGTTGGTGGCGGAAAGCGCATAAGGTTGCAGAGGATGGGAGGTCAAGTGTTGTGGGCAGGTGGGCATGCATTAAGTGGGCGGAGGTTTGCAGCGGTACTTCATAACTGGATTCATAATTCCGGAGCATGGGAAAATTGCGTAGAATGGGTTGGGAAAGAGATGATATGAGTCATGTTTGGTATCGGTGAGCGAGCGCTGTGAAGTGGGCGGGGTTTACGCACAACGATACCGTTTGGCTCGATTCGTCCCCTACAAGTGCGTAACCAAATTTCGGCTCGAGAATGATTAGAGACCTGAAAAAACATACGACGAGGTAAAGTAGTAGTAGAGGACTTTGAATGGGACGCCGGGCGTGGCACACCCGGATGTGGGGCGGAGTCTTGCCAACCGCTCTCATAACTCGGTTCCTAGAAGTTTCGGCGCACCGCGGGGAAAAATAGTGGCATAAGTAGGTGATGTATTGGAAGATAGGCGCTTGAATGCCATTGTTGGGCTAACCATGCACAAGTGGGCGGGGGTCTGCCTCAGAAATTCGTGACTCATAACGCCATTTACAAGACCTCATAATTCGGCACACCCGGATGTGGGCGGAGTTTGCGGCGTAAGTAAGATGTACCGAGCAGAAAGCTAAAAATCAAGACAAAAATACTAATGGGCCCGATTTTACTGCTGCAGCCCCGTCTCATGCACGCGAATGCGTGCGCAGCCAAACTGGTGTCATATTATAGACGCAGCGAAGGTGAGCCTTCTACCCCTGTACTCGCCGCCGTAGCCCAATAGTAAGCATGCAGGACTCCCGAGAGGAACTGAAGGGGTTGGGCAACTCAACTGCTTGATGTGGTTCATAAGCAAGGGGGCGGGGCCGTTGATGGATATAAATTTTAGCGCGTCGGGGGCCGGTCGTCTTGATTTTACATCACATGGATATATGGCTGGCGTCACGAGTGCTCTTATTACCCTGCTCTTCGTCCCTTGGCATATTCTTTTCACTACTTTCATAGATTCATAAGTTAGAATGTTAACCGTTATGGCCATGCGGCTCAAACAGATCTTTTCGGGATTTAGCGCAAGGGTTTGAAGGCATATTTCAAAGGTGTTAAGTTCACCCTAGTATCGGTGAGGAAAATGGAGTAATTTGATGACGTTTGAAAATTTTCTAATTTGGGGTAGGAATTGAACTTCGAGCTTTCTCTTCTTGATCAAAAAAAAAATGATGCGAAAGTGGTAGTGACTCATGCGGAAAACTTGGGAGCACCAGCGTTATCGTTAAGGCAGAACCTCGAAAAAAGATAATGACGAAAAGCAGAGCTACTGGGAATGCAATTCATCTTAGATGGTGCGTGGAAAATCTCTCCATTTTTCGGGTGGACTACCTAATTGAGCTCTCATATCGAAATTATTCGGGAGTAAGGCAGTGTTTATTCAGTCAGAAAAAAAAACCTTCCGCTGGGTAGAGGAGGTTGGTAAAATATCAAACCATGATTTTCTGCTACGTCATATTTTGAATAATAGGCAAAGAATAGTAACCACCAGCGTCTGTGAAAGTGGTAAAAACTTTGAAATCACTAAACAACAGGCAAGCTATATGGTTTGTCATTAGAATGATTACAATTTGATGCCAAGATAGTGATTTCAAGCCTATGGCTAATTTTATCTGAAAAAATATTATCTTGGCATAGTGTGACTGGGCAATGTAGACAACAGCTGCGAGTGGGAGCACTCCTGTCAATACTTGCCCATTACTTGAGAATTTCTATATAAGAGAACATTCAGAACATCTAACCTCTGTTGGTATACTGGAGTACTCCTTCACTCTTTCAACAGAAACGATATTGGTCTCCAACTTACTTATCTGTCGTACAGCAAAGTTCAGTACCGTAGTGATCTGAAAGTACAAATCCGAGAATTGAGCAAAGCAATAAATTAAATTGCTCTTGTTGAAGGCTGCTACGTGCTGAATTCAATAAAACATCTGATGGAGTTTAGCTAAGCTTGACCATTTCTGTGCTGGTTTGGGAAAATTTCTTTCCTTTATCCCTACACTTACATAATAGTTGATAAGATTTTTGCTAGAACTAGTTCTAGTAATGTGGTGTAAATATACACAGTATACATGCGTATCTCTGTGAAGAGGATAAACGAAAAATGTTTGTTTTCGGCATGGTTTCAACTTGAGCCTTTCTTTTGCAATAGAATACAGACTAGTTTGATAGAACTACTTTATTCTGATGGCTAGTTTTCATTCCTTCTCTAAGAATTGAATTCACAGATCAATGAACTGCTCATCCAATTCCGTTAGCAGCCAAGTTTTTGACCCCATCCGAAAGTGCCGAAGCGTACACCTTCTCGATATGCTGCTCTGCCCTGGAAAAGACACCAGTGCGGTGTCTTGAAGGCAGATTTCATGATGAAAATCAGCCCATTGGAAATTAAGTTAGAGACGGTCAGTGATGCACGAAGAAGGAAAGGAAACGGAGAAAATAACCTGAAACCTGTTGCGCATGATGCGATTCTCATCCATTCTGCTCTCTCCAACGATAACGCTCTCTCTATTGAACGGCAAGGCCCTTCTTGATTACATCCCTCCACCTCTTCTTTGGAGCTCCTCGTGGTCGATTGTCTTGCGCTTTGAAGTACATAGGACAGCAGCAATGCGTGCTAAGGAGGCCCACAGGTGCTCCTGTTGGCCTCCTTAGCGCGTGCCCATACCATCGCAGTCGTTGTTCCCTCACCTTCAGCTGGACAGCGTCAATGTGCATGACCGCTCTAACATCCTCGATTTTGACCCTGTCGAGCTGCGTCCATGCGTAGGCCCATCTCAGTATTCTTATCTCAGCCGAGTGAAGCTGCCTTTCGTGGTTTTTGTTCAAGGGCTAGCACTCACTGCCATACAGCATCGCAGGCTTCATCACAGTCCGGTATGCCTTCCCTTTAAGGTTCTGGAGCACTTTCGATCGCAGTATATCCTAGTGGACTCTTTATTTCACGTGATTCTCCCCTTTACTGCCTGGTCCACACTGCCGTCGGCCGCCATCATTCTCAAGGTATCTGATGCCCTCCACTACGATTGGCTCCGTTCCTTCTTCAAACTCAGAAACTGGTCTTCTTTACATTCAGCCGGAGCCCACATTCCGCCAGCACTTCCTACCATTTCTGTATCATGCCCTGGAGTTCCTCTCTGCTATCCACTCTTAGGGCTATGTTTTCACCGATGAGGATGCTCTTCATCCCTCCATGAGCCCGCTAGCCGCTAATAGGTTGTCAAGAGAGCACGTAAGCAAACCAGCCCTTTTGGCGCTTCGGCTGGGACCGTATGCTGAATGTTGGGGAGGGGATCGAGTCCCCGACGGTGGACGGACCACTTTAACTCGGTCCTTAGAACCGCCACAATTTGATGCTTTCCTCAAAACTAAGCTTTAAAAAGAGGACGGGTCCTTCCCCTCTCCAAGGCTTAGTCCAAGGGTGAGCAAACCAGCCCTTCTGGCAGAGCTGCTGGACCAGCTGCACCACTTGCGTCAGTACTCTCCTGTCGTCAACCGAGTTGAAGTAAACCGTCGACCGTTGGGGACCCCATCCCCTCTCCAACATTCTACGGTCTCAGCCGAAACGCCAAAAGGGCTGATTTGCTTACCTCTCAAGAGAGCCATACTGTTTTTTGAATGGAGTTCTCAACAGTGCAACTGTTCATCTAGAATACCGCCCTCTTATAACTAATATGATATTCATAGCTTTTTTTTTAGCTTCAGAATGATATGAAACGAATAACTAATGGGACGTCTCAGGCGCAAGAAGTCGAAGTAAGTCATTATAACGCTTGACGAACTAATTATAATGGTATATGTTGGGCAAGGTGTTGAAGTCCACGTGCGAGAGTGCCGCTGAACAAGTGCGCTTGAGAGGTTCAGTTAATCCAATTGTGATCGAATGGTGATCGCATTTAACCCTCCCCCAAACTCGTACGCGTAAGTGGCATAGAAGTGAGCCTGTTTAGCTCAGACCCAGAATCTGTTGGTGTTATTCCCACGTCCAAGAACCCGCCTCCAACAGCCCGACTTCATCTCGTGTCAGCGAAATCCCCTTCGCCAAACCAAGTTCGCTCTCCGACTTCCCTTCTCCACTGAACTGAGTATTCTGTTCGAATTTGTTACCCTCGCTCATTCTCATTTCAGTTGCTTCATTGCAAATTAATAAAATTTCATTTATTCTATGGTGCTGCTGTGCTAACGAAGGATACTGCGCCGGAATCGGCCACAACTACATCTCGGACTTACACACATTTTCCCGTTAAGAAACGTAAACAGTAACTGAGTCATCAGGAAAGACGAAGAAGACGCGAATCCACGTCTTTGCGGCTATTCTTTCATAGTTCAGAAAAAGTGTTGAGTACATAGTATAAAAACCTTATCACAGACGCTATGTTTTAGTGAACACTCAATCACACTGCTTATACATAACACTAGCCGAGCACAGCACACCACAACAATACTTCTAGGAATTATACTCTTTTGTAAGTAAAAAGGGCCAATCAAATTTAGCTAATGAGAACTTACATTAAGTGCGTAAGACACCGACAATCCAACAACTCCAGAAGTTGTGCTTTCCCTTGTCGAGGCAGCAAAAAGCGCTGCAAAAAATATAACACAATTTCCAAGAAGTTCCAACCTAACAGACATCCAACGGTTTGCTACGAATCCAAAATAGCGACACTGAAAACGAAAATAAAACAGTACATGTTCATGTTGAAGCATAGCTATGAAAGAATCTTGTATAAGTGAATCTCTGCTAACAGCTACTATACTTCACTTTAAAAGGGTATTTCTCTCGAAGCGACAGTATCCTCTATCTTTGTCGTGTAATGTGTTATCAATAAAAGCATGGAGATTGGCGGCATGAGGGTGGCTATTGAGTTGATGGTTGCAAAAGACTCGTTCCTTAGTTGCTGCTTTGCCGTTGTCGGGTCACGGGCAGTATAAGGGGCCCTTTTTTGCGTATGCTTGACGGAGTTCCTGCTTTTTTCATCTTTGGCGCTTTACTCAGCACACTCACTTCCACTGTAGATCCAAGCGGACCTTATTGTAATCCCTCGCTTCAAGAAAACCGTATCCGCGGCGATGATACGGTTTTAGCGGTTGCCCGCGCCAACCAGTCAATTACCCCCTCGTCGTCAGTAGTAAGCCATTCTAATAGGAAAACAGAGCAGAGCGTTCACAATGGATGAATTCACAGCGATGAGACTCACCCAGGGTGAATATCGGTCGAGGAATTCCTCGACGAAGGAGAGGGGTCGTATTGCTTCTTCGGAAGACAAAGGGGGGATCGTAATTGTCGGTATCAGTATCGAACGAGGCGTGATCACCAGGTTTAGCAGAAGTGGGAGGCGTCTTCCCACTAGGAACTTTTCTAAACAATCAGGCAGCCACTTGGAAGAACAATTCTTTTACTTTCTAAAACTGTCCACACTTCCGAGCAATTGAGAAATAAGAAAGTTATCGTCTTGAAAACAGCAAAAAATGGCACAAAAATTCCGAGTTCCTCGAAAATTCCAATTCGACTGGATAGGGTATCTTCAGAGCAACATCAGAGATAGGAAAAAACTGCAATCGAAGCTTTTTCAGAGCACACAAACAGTTCTCCAAAAGATCAAGTTGCGAAAAAAAGTTATTAAGGTTTGATGCATAAGGGGAGGAGGCAATTTTTTGAGGTGAATCGCTAGAAGAACTTAAACGCCAATGTGAACATTTGCGTTCGTTAGGCGGTTGCGTCGCGGCTACGCTGCGGAGCGCGTTGTTCTTGCTTGACTCGGGCGAAACACGTTGAGTCATTCAATGCTTTTGTCGAGTAGTGGCAACAGGTGTTGGATCCTTATGCATTCATATGACGCAATCGGGCTCTCATTCAGCGAGGGAGCCCGCGGTTTAGAGCGCCCAACGCGTTCAAGGCCAAGGCCATTTTCTACTATGAGTGGAAGGCTGAACCTTATGGTTAGAGGAGGGGGAAATTACTGAAGGGTGCGCGAGAAGTCCTCGTCCCCCGGAATTCCTCCGTCTCAGGCTCAGTCCTTCGAAGATACTCCTCCGGCTCACAAAGGCTCTTCTCGCCATACTGTAGAGAAGAAAAGCTGCACACAAGAAAATAAAAGATGTGGTGTAGGAATGAAGACGCCGAAGCTCGTAGCTTCAGGGAACTCCTTCCACTAAAATGGCATTAGTGTAGGTGCACAGACTCATATCTGGATGAGATTCGACAGGAGTACTTCTCGTGCCATTTTGGCGCCATTGGAAGTGTACTTTGCAGGTGTTGCAGCGTTTTGGATTCTCTTCTTCGACTAAGTCTGCTTTCCTTAATCCTCGAAAGCACACTATGATTCAGTTTCTAAAAACTTGTAACGAAAAGACCCTTCAGCTACATTTCCGTAAGTGATTCTTTTTCCATTTGCCTTTGCTTTGCTTCATTTAGTCGCTTACCTGAACACGGCTTCTGCGGTGCATAAGTTATGCTAACATTTTTTTTTGAATTTTATTAAGCCGAGCTCATACTCCAATGTTTGATAGACTGTGAAATAAGTTATAAGACTCACTAACCATAAGATTAAACTACGGTTAGAAGGTAGTGATTCGGAGAGTAGGTGATTAGGCGATGAGATTAGTCGTTTCCGTTGAAAACAGTCAATGGTAAAGGACCTTTTTTGAGCATTCCCTATCTCCTAATGTTCTGAGCCCATAATATACCAATAGACTCCAACATTTGGTGCGCATTACCAACGAAACGCACTGAGCAACGTTTCGCGTCCATGAGTCAAGCAAGAACAACGCGCTCCGCAGCGCAGCCGCGACCCGACCGCCGAACGAACGCGAATATTCACATTGGCGTTTAAGTTCTTCTGTTCGCTCCACCGCGTGAGCCGCGCCACAGCTCACGTGAGGAATCAGGTGCCCCTTCGGATTCAGTGACAATTTCATTGCTAAATCCTGTTAATCACTTTTCTCCGTTCCTGCCGATCATCTTTCGTGTAACGTGTGCACACTCGAACAATCGCCGCTGTTATAGGAGAATGCTTTGTTTTTCAGGATTCCTTTTTAATCGTAGCTTTCGCGCCGCAGTCGCTGAATAGAGGTGAGTTCTCCCAGTTTGTCATTAACGCACAAGTGCTAATGAATCTTTTCTGAAGACTACTTTGCTTTCACCATCGCTTTGTCCTGCTTTTGATCGGTTAGTGTTTTGATTTCGTGACTGATTTCTAAAGAGGGGTCGTTCCGTGACCCCGTGTTTTAGGCGGGGATCGTATCACAGTTGGGTTTTCCTTGACACGATTTTCACCCTAGACTCACCTCAACGCGGAACCTACAGAGGGAAACAAAGGCTTCATTTTGCGGGTTTTAGGTTGATTCAATTAGTTTTTCATCAAAGCCGCACCTCTGAACGGCTCTCCTTTCATCCCGAGTGGGCTAACAAATTTTCATAATATCTCCTTGCGAATTCAAAGTAAGAGCGATGCCGCAAGCTTGTATTACTCAGTCAAAATCATGTATTCCAATCAAAATTTTCAAATGAAGGTGATGTGCAGAAGAACGTCAGCGAGTGCGACGAGACATGAGGAGCATTGACACTATTCTCCATTCACGCCCTATTTTGTGAGGGTGGGCTGGATTTTAATCGAAATTTTTCTCAGGGGATAAAACCGGCCGAAAACTCACCCTCTGGCACAGTTCAGTCCATCGCACATGAATATTGCACCCGTTTGTCACGAGAACGCCTGGTGCCCACGCCACGGGCGCCGGCGCCAAATGGCGCTGGATCACCAAACTCGCTGAAAACTTACCCTCTGGCAGGAGAAATTTCTGCAGTATGCTCAAAAAAGATTATCTCCGGACTCTTCAAACTCGCAAAGCCTTAAGAATTCCTTGATGTGGTAGGTGTATAGCTAAGTATTCGAACCAAATTTCCTCTTGGATACCATCTTAAACTTCTGTAACAATGACTTGTTCTGGGTATGGGCGCCAGTATGAGGACTAACACAGGTAACCATGTTTCACAGTGAGATGTCGACATCCATCAGGCAATCTCGACAAATGTGAATATGTTCTCTTTGAATCTGGGATTACCGTAGTTTCTGGTCGGAAGAATTTGGAAATGATATTCGTGAGGGTATTAGCCCCATGTGGTCTCACCAGAACTATGAATGGCTACTATGCCCGGCCATTAACTCTCCCGATACCTCCAAAGAGTCTCCCCTTCCTTCGCGCAATCTTGTCGCAAATGTACTTCCTTGACGTTGGTTTCATCGACTTCTACAACTGCGCCAGGCAGCCGATAAGTTGAGGATGCCTTACGCTTCCGTGTCAAATAGATGCGATCTTCGGGCCCTCTGGGTCAAGTTGCACGTGAAGCAAGTTTCTAGTCGGCTTTATCCTTCAGGAAAAATTTCGATAGAAATACGACCGAATCTTCAAAAGTGGGGCAGTAGGGGGTAAATAGTGCCGGAACATTTTTTGAAGCTCAAATATCTTTTGGAGATGAATTCCCGAAATCTCTCTGTACTGAGCACTAAGAATTTGCTTCATTTGGATTAATGACTATGCTGGTCCTACCCTTGTAATGAAATCGGTACAGAATATCACTCCCCTAATGTGTGCGCTCTAATATAATTCTTCAACTCTTCAGCTTGATCAAGATTCTTTTCAGCATAGTGAATGCAGCCATTTTGTTTCCAACAGTGAAATGATTTTCAGCAAAAAAAGTGAGGAACAAACCTGGACATGGTCATCAACTTTCTGTTCAGACATCTTAGAAAAGCGTTCTGTCACACAGTAAGATCGGATTGTGGACGCCCCCTGGAATAAATTATTATATAAAGTGAACAGTTTAAGCTATATAGAAAATTTCCTCAGTTCACCTGTACACTTTCACTGAGGTGACTGTAAATGGGAGATCGAGAAATAGATTCCAATCGTTTCAGCTGCCGAGAGGTGGAAATATAACACCGCTGAAAAAAACAATAAACTTGTGCGTAAGTCATCTATTCATTTGGTCTTCCAACCCGCCAACGCCAATGCACCCACCATGATCATGAGATATAATGCGGTCAGCGGAACTATAGCCACGCCAAATATTGGCGTTGAAATCATGATAATTGCCAGAGTTGAAAGGACTTGTAATAAACACTGCATGAAAAATTGAACGTTCAGTGGAAGAAGCAGATCGATTGTTTCGATGTCCTGGAACAAAATAGACGGCGTTCATCCTGTCAAAACACTTTGTCAGAAATGAGATCAAAGAAGTCACTTTGCCAATGCGATTCAAGATCCTTCCGAATGGTGTTACGTCGAAAAAAGACATCGGAGCACGAAAAACTGAATGAAGCAGCGGTGCATGGAGATTCCTTGAAGCAGAAACTCCCCCATACAAAAGCGACACTATACTGACAAAAAGAAGCATGACTGTAACAATAGAATATGTGTACTATCGTTAGCAGAATTCATGCATAATGCGCATCTAATACGGTACCTTCCGCAAATCCGAGCAAAGCGTAAACACCAAGCCTTCCTCTTAAAAAACTCGGTTCACCAGCTTCGATGACGCGGTGAATATTCCTGTCGGACCTTAATGTTGGGGATTCTAGATTTTGAAAGGCCAAAGATAAAAGATAGGAAAAACTTGAACAAAGGAAACTTCAAAGCTCGGCCAATAGTGGGACAACACAATAACAGATGGGCCAAAAACACAAGTGGTTTTCAGAGATCCCGACGCCTTTTTGCTAGACGACAGCGATATCCAATGCTGTTAAAGTTCCACTCACCAATCACTAAGCCACATATTTCGAGCCATTGAAAAAAACGTGCTTGAGCTCATTCCAACGACGAATAAAACAGCAAGAGTCACACCCATGGCACGAAAGTAGCTGAGATATACATCGAATTTTATCTAAAACCGCTAGGTCAGTTTCCAATCAGTCTTTCTGACTTCATTTCTCGAATTTCAAAAAAAAAATTGAAGATTTTTATTGCGTGGCTAAATGGCTGCTCGTCAATTGCTGTCATCAGTTGCTGTTCGGTGAGTCAGCACACTTCAATTTATTTCAACTTAAATTCTATCCTTTTAACCCCGATACTCCTAAGAGGGCATATATTTTCGTATCAGCTCAAATTGTTAGGGCAGTGACCTTCGGTGAAACCCGAGGTCACTCAAGAGATGCTTACAATTTTGTTTTTTGATGGTTGCTCACCATTGGGACCAAAAGTTTTTTTTTACACATAATTATCCTCAAGCGCTCGAGCGTCGTCTAGCAAGATGCAACATAGGCATTGGAAGAAGTTGTAGCCGGTAGGGTGTTGCAGAAACCATTTGAAAGTAATGCAGAAGAATATTTGAAGCTTGGTGACGACATTGCCTGTTCCAATTTTATTTTTATTGTTCGGGTGATGCGGAATTGATAGTTATTGCTATAGTGCAGCACTTGCTCAAAGACGAGCCAACAAAATCGAAGAGCACCAGAGCACGCGATCCTGAGACGTCCCTGCGGAGTACTTCAGCTCTGCTTTCACTACAGTGTTCTATCGACTCTAAAATCTCTTCGAAACTTACGAGCTTGGAGTTCCACTATCTGCCAAAATAAGACAACTTCCACATCCGCTATCTGTGCAATGTCGTCAGAGTAACGAATAATCTCTACTGAACGGAGGAGAAAAAACGGGGCTCGCTTCTTGTGCACTTTGAAGGCAAATTTCGGGATAAAACAAGGGACTCACCTGTTCGGTCTATAAGAGAGTTGATCGAAGATAATGAAAAAAAAACAGGAAATACTTCCAAAGAACTACAAAATCAGAAATTCCTCTTCGTTAGTCGCTTACGAACCAGGGCTGGGAAAATCACGTGTTTGGACATGTCTACAGCAAGTGTTGGCTTCGTGCCATCAACCGACACGGCCACAAAAAATCAGCAATGAGAACTGATTTTTTCCAGTTTCCCTATTTTTTCTATTTTCTTGTGCTTTTTTGTTTGCTTCCTATCTTAAAAATTTTTTTCTCACTAGAATGATGACAACGTTCTCCAAAATGGTCCCAAGATAGGCTTTGATGCCGATTTTCGCAATTGAAATCCGCTCAACACTCCCTCACGACTTTAACGTCCAGCGTTCTAGGTGGTTGTTTGGATGATCAAGTAGGATGGTGGGCGGGCTCAATAAGCTTGTGGCGGCCCTAGCCCCTAAACCTTATCAAAACGCCCCGTCACTTCTGTTCATGACCTGCCCTTGCGTACTTCCATATTTGACGGGGAAAACCTAACGCCAGAAATCCCAGAATTTGCCTTTAACACGTTGGCGTCATCGCACGTTTTGGGTTTTTGCACCGAGTGGGATCACAGCGATTTTGCGAGCGCCGCTGCAGCACACCAAATTCATGGATTTTGAGCTGTAAATACGCAATTATGTGCATTGAATTGTTTTCAATAGTTGATGATCTGTCTAACTTATCGGGAGTTACAGTAATGGAAGTTCAACCGGAAGAACGTATTAAGGCCACGAGAAGGCAAATTTTATTCACTTTCCCTTTAGTGGCTCCAAAATTAATTTGGACGTGGTTGTTTCGGTAAAAACACATATCTTGCCACACGAGTAGTTTTGTGTTCACTTCTATTATTCTTTTTTATCCACATGTTCGCGTTAATGAGAAGAAAATGAGGAATAAATTGAACGGATATTTTCGCCAGGTCTGGAAAACCTCTGCCAAATTTAAGAATAATTGGTCATTCTATGAGCCACGTGGTTCCTGGTTATGCTGATGTATGACCTATAAAATCAACACAAAAAACCGAGGAAGAAATCGAGCATGTGCGCAAAAATAAATGTAACTGGTGTGGCATACATAGTTGCCACAACGTCTATGGAGGTGCAAAAATGGTGGCATAAATAGTTGCCGCGCTGTCGTCAAGGTGTTAACGGCGATGTTTGCGTTCTTGGCACCTTTGCCTTCGTGCGGCTTTGTACGGCTGCCTTAGCTCTATATAAAATATCTTTTCTAGAGAGATAGATGGATATGAAAATAGGGATCACCTGTTTCGAAGCGCCCCGTTCTCTAAACGCCCTGCGCAAAACCGGATTAACGGTGCTGCGCAAGCGATAGACGCTCGAGTGCATTACCCAGGTAGAAAGAAGTCAAGTGGCAGGGTTTGCCCTTTCTTTTGAAGTTTTCTGTGACTCCATTGTGCTGAAGATAGCGTCCGATCTGTGTTTTTTGACCACTAGGCCAAATTACTCCAACAAGATCGGGAGCTCCTCAATGGGAGCGGTTACATTGGGGGAAGCATGTGCACCACACAAAGCGAGATGTGGTGCTTTCATACCGAAAGGTGTACTGGTAGCTAAGCAAGATCTCGAAAGCGCTCCGTCCCCAAAAGCGATCCGCCCACTTGTTGATTTAGAAGAGCTGCGCGGCCAACAGCGACAGAATAGAGCATCTCGATCAAAGCGTAGTTTGGCATGGTTCAATCAAATGCGTTGCGGTAAACTCTTCCAAGTTCCTCTTTCTAAGCTATTGCCTGTTTACGAGTGAAACCAACGGCCAAAAAAGGGGTATCCATTCGCATGGTCTACGGATTTTCCTGTTTTTTTTTTCGCTACAGGCGTTCCATTGAGCACCATCACGTCACACTAGAGCCTTCTTGACTTGACCGTAATTGCTGCCTTCAACTTTCGAGCCAAATAACTACTCATATCCCTTCATGACACGCGCAATCAACTTGATTCCTTGACAGTTAGTAGCATTCATCATATCTCATCCTGTTTGAAGATAGGAACGACAACACAAATTTCTTTCGAAGACGCAGTGTTTTTGAGGCATGCAAATCATCCTATCCCGCGTCTACAACCGTCCTCCTTACCTCCCTTGACATTCTACCTACATAAACCAGCTTCCCGTCTTTCATCCTCACTGGTTCTCTACAAGGCTACTGCTCAGAAGGCGTTATGAACACGTCTCCGCTTTTGAGTCATCTTTACAGGGTTGTACAAGGGTTGAAAGTACTTTTCTCATCTCCACCGTACCGGACTGGCGTCACAGAATGGTACCTCTCCTGGTTTTTACAGCTTTCACCCTCTCTCTTATTTGCCGTATACTTAGTTCCAGCGCACCACAAGGCGATCTTGTCTACGCATTGCTGCCAAACACCCCTAATTCAAATTTCTATTATTGGATTCAGCCGCCTTGGCGATTTTCAAGCAACATTTGTGGTCGGCGAGTTACATCTTAAGCCATGTCCAAAACTTCTTTTGCAGGACGTAGGATAGCTTCAGCGGTAATATTCGGGGCTTGTTGGACTGAAGCATATTATCCTGGATTCTTAGAATCCTTCGCTTGAAATCGCCCTTGTGCAGCTTCATTCATCAAATCTTTGGCTCAATATTACCCTTGGTTTTTTCAGTTCAAGAGTTCCATGACAATGTCTGCCAGAAATTTCCTTGAGGAGCCAGTTCTTCGCCTGGAAGGAGATCAGGTCATATGACTTTACTACGTTTGCGGAATATATGTGAGAAAAGTGGTAATAACATTCGAATGGCTATTCACACACAACCAAATAAACTAATACCAAAGATAAATAGCTTATTGACCAGTTTCAGAAAACGGTAGGGGCCGCTATTCAGCAGTAAATTATCCACACGCTATTGAATTGCTCCAGCGATGGACGGGTATGCTTCCGCTGACTACAAATAATCACTGGACTTAAAGGTGAAGCTCATCGCCCACAATTTATTCTTAAATCGTGCCAAAGAAATTTTCATTAGGCTTCCCCTATTTCTCGATTGTGTCGACTTCAAGACATTGCAATCGTAATTACACATGCCCTGTACCAGTTTATGAACCATACAGAGGCCAAAAAATCTGCGCCTCATTCCTGAAGATGTGAGCCCCAGATAACGATTCCTAATGCTAGTAAGCAGATTACGAGTGAAGCCATTCCGAATCCCTTCACGTGCATAGACATGCTTCCTTTTCGTATTACTGAAGAATATGCTACTGGATTCAACCAGAGATAGCACATCTACTCTACTTGTAAGCATGCAAGTGCTCCTTTGTTAGCTAAGGATAACTCGGTAGAATCTTGAAAAAACGTGAATGGGCCATTCTGTCATATTAATGCTATACTTGAAGTATAATTTGTTATTGTAGTGAAAACCGAGGTCTCTGATAGATTCTATAGCAACGAGGGGCACCATCAAGAATGTGCAATCGCGTTGACGAAGTTCCCGACATTAAATACATGTCCACTGCTTTGTGTAATGCTAGGCAGTAACCACTTCTTGGACTAGCTTCCCTTTAGGTCAAGTGTTTCCAGAATTTTCTGGAAGTCTATCACCGCCGGAATTGATTTATAGGTGTTTGTTTCATCTGCATACACCTTTGCTGTAACGTCTATTTCATGAAGCATTTCGGGAAGCTTGGCCATAAAAACATTGAAGAGCACCGGTAACAGCACACCTCATCAGGAGTACTTATTCACGATACTTATTACCCGCCTGACTTCCAAAAAGGCTAGCCAATTTTAACCTCAACGTTCTAGCACATAGGTACTTTGAAATCCACTTCGTAAGATCGGGTGAAATTTCAAACTTGCACCTTGAAGATCATGCTTTTGCGCAAAATGCTATCGAACGTACTGTAAAGTCAAAATGAATGAAATCGTAGGAAAGCGTATTATCAAGAGCTTCGGTCTAGCCGCCTAGGCATTCGATGAATTTGCTACCTTAGTTCAGTATCCCCTTCCCCGCGAGTTTCCTCGCCCCTATCCATGTATATCCTTGAATCCTTTCTAAACCTCCCCTGTCATTGCGAACAAGGTCTAACAGATCTTTCGTTAAGGTGAGAAGAGCACTCCAGAATCGACCATCATTA